GTCGACGTAATCGTGACTAGTCGACTAATCGTGGCAGCCCTAAAGTATAACTTTACCTAGTCAGAGGGAGCATCCATCCATAATGATGATCATTTATATCGGTTATATATCGGTTTGTATTTGTGCTGCTGGTGTATTTTTGAAGCATTTTTAATTATCAGACAAATAATATAACTTTGTTTGTGCTCCAGTTTTGGTCGGTGCCTAACAGATATTTGAGCCTACACAGTTTACAGATGCTGGTTCCAGCTAATAAACGTGCTACAAAAATGGTACAGACTAGGCTTTAAAACATTTCACAAACTAGTGGGTGATTTTATGATGCAGTCTATAGCCAACTCTGGTGGTTTGAAGAAAAATTACAGAAGGGATCGAAATGCTTTAGACAGGATTGTAAAAAGGAGAAAACACGAGTCGAGCACAGTGAAAAAGCTGAAGTCAACAAGACAGCGAGTCAGTGATCGGGGGATTAGAATCACAGCATCGCGCTGACGTTTTCATATTGCTATTAATCATCCTGCTACTTCAAACTTCTCCCCCTGCAGCTCTGATGCGACTCACCTCTTCTGCAATCAGCCACATGATTCAGCACCACTCTGCAGAGCTCTGAGTCCCCCAGCAGGGAGAATGAAATAACACCTGACACACACACACACACACTAAAACCTCAGCACCTCCTGACAGGTTGAAGTTCCCCAGAGGACTTCACAGCTCAGGTGTTAAATCACCAGAGGTTTTCCTCTCGCAGCGCCATCAGCTTGTTTTCATTAGCGGTGTTGTGTGTGTTTGCAGTCTGATCTCACAGGAGAGTCTTAGTTATTCACACAAACATAAATACCGTCCTGTCGCCACTATATTAGCAGAGATTTATGGGCGACGAGGCTTTAAAAGGAGCAGCTTTTGAACATTAAAGTGACAGCCTGACCAAAACCTTACCCCGTGCTTAAAGGGCCGTTTCACCGCAAATACTCGAGAGATGCTGAAGGTTATACTGGAGTGTTTTCAGACACAGTACTGTGAAGACAGTAATTTATTCATTTCACTATCTCAAGCCATTAATTTTACTTTAAACTGGCCTCAAATCAGTGCCTAAAAGAATAAAAATGTGACGTAAAAACCATCCAGACTGCAAACAGATCAACATGTTTGCTCTAAAGAACCTGCACCTGTAAATACCTGTATATTTACTGCACATTCATACACTCTCTACCAGAATTTCTACATTTTTGTAATAAAAACTGTGCAAAGATGTGACTCTTAGCTGTGTGCTGCTCTGCACTGTGGACAGAGGCTGTCCAATGCTGTTGCAGCCTGCTGAGGAGCTGTGATGGTGCAGCCCTTCTTCTTCTTCTTCTGGCTGAAGATTTAAGACTGTCTGTGCATTTGGGGATGACTTTAAGGGGGGATCACATTCCTCCATGACGGGAGTTTATGATGGATAATAATGCAAACACGTGAACTTTGTACATGTATGCAAAGATGTGATTTACAGGTAGTGTGCAAACCTCCCAGCAGTGAAACTGTCCTCTGTTTCGTATCTTTAATCCCATCTGTTAGAATACTTCAGCTTTATTTCAGGAAGCTGTTATGTGGCCGACACAAAACTAGACGACGGTGCGGGGAGGTTCGGGGATTTTTTCTTTAATTTTTCTGCCTATATAACAAAGGATCGTTTTGTAGTATATTAAAATGTTTCATGCTACAGTGGTTTGTTTTGGGGGCTTTTGGTGCAGGCGTACTCACGGTGCCAGGTCTTGGGTAGGGGATGTGACCCTTGTACTCGACCCAGCGGTAGTCGGGACCTTCTTTATGGGCAAATGGCCCGTTGAAAGCAGTTCGAATGGACGCCATGGAGAACACACACACTGCTGAACCACGAAATATGGAGCTGTGGAAGAAAAAGGAGGTGTTGGTGACGGCTGTGATAGAAAGACGGAGTTTGGAAAGACCGGAGAAGCGGAGGAAAGAAGAACGCCAAAACAGGCCAGGAAGGAAGGAAGAATAAAAGGAAGGAGAAAGAAGGAAGCAGGAAAGGAAGGACACGAGGGGAAAAAAGGTGGAGTGCTTTCATACATTGGTTACAAAAACACAACCAGCTGGGCCTCTTCACCTTTGACCCTGGACACCTCCCACATCTGACCTCTGCTCCTTTGCACCCCTGAGTGTGCACGTGCCAGCCTGGCAGTGGGCGTGCACATACAGGAAGAGGACGCCCTCCCTCTTCCCTTGAAAACTGTTTCCTTCAGTTTTTAAAGCCTAAATGTCAATAAAGTTCTCATTGAATCAGAAGTTTGGTCATGAACATGTGCAGCGGCGGGCTCGTGAGCACCACCGAGGACAGAATGACACGGGCCGGCACCAGAGAATAATCACGGGACTTTTAAAGATCTTTAAAATCGTGCATTTTAAAAGGATTTCTTGAGAAATGTAAAAGTTTAAGCAGCTCATGATACATGTAAGTGACTGCACGGCTGAACGCGCCCTCACCTGGACGTGCTGAAGACTCCATAGATGGTCGGGTTCTGAGGGTCCTTGGTCTCCAGGACAAAGATGTCCTCTAAGGAAACACAGAGGCTGCTTTTAAACTCAGAATCATGAACAACGTGCAGCAGTAAAATCGTGTTATTCATACTGAGGGAGGAAGACTGGAAGTTTAGATTTGCCTGTTCTGTCTCCTCGTCACCTGTAAATCATTCACAGTTGCACAAATTTGTACCAATAAAGTTTTAATCAGTGGCTGATGTGGCGAAACTTCAACCTTTGTAACCTCAGACCTCCTAAAGACAAGACAGGACCGTGTGTGGAAGGAAAGGAGGAGACAAATATCACAGTGTCAGCTTTTCAAAGTTGGGACGATAAGGCGAGAGCACAGGCGAGGCGTACTGTACTAAGATTATTCAGGAGAGGTCACGTAAGAAAACATCCAGAGAGGAAGGAAAAGGAGGAAGAGGAGGAGTTTTTTACCAAGTTCATCAAACTGCGTGTCGACTCCAGACGGGCCGGGGACAGAACAGACCAGCCGGGCTTTGAGGAAGGTGGTCCAGCGGTTGATGAGACTCCTCCTCCCGCCGAGATCGTTCTGGATTGAGGAGGAGATGAGAGAGGGAAGGATGACGGTTAGAGATAAGGAGCAGTACAGCGAGGGGAGAAGGGAAGGAAACATAAAAAGGAGACATCGTCTACAACCTTCGTCCGTCTCCACAGATCTGCATTTCTGTTCAGTTCAAGAACACAAACCTTAATTCCTTCATTTAAAGCTCTGAAACTAAAAAAACTTTAGATGTATTTACTTGTTTTGGTACTTTTTACTTAATAAATTTATTACCCAGATGTGTGATAAATCACATATGAAGCAAAACAGGTGTCAGAAAGCCTGTTAACAGTTATAACAGTGATGCGGGACAGCAGAACAGAGAACCCTGATCCCCGTCACGGATTCCTTAATCACGTCGAAGCGGTTCGTTGTTACCTTGCAGACTCGGGCCACGCGGCTGTACACCCTCTTGTCCCACTGCCCCGCCTCCACCGCCCTCTCCTTGAAGAAGAAGTAGACTTTATCATCGTCCGGGCTGCGCGTGTCAGGGATGGAGAAGGAGCCCACAAAATCTGGCTCTGAGAGGGAGACGGTACACATTTGACTGTCTGTGAGCTTCTCTCTGTTTCTATAGATTATTTGTAAATTACAGGTATAACAAGTGAAGGAGTT